GCCTTTGCTGTGAGACGTGGCACCTTTGTTGTCACTGTCTCTAAGTGGCCATACTGAGAGTGTCCCTTCAGAGTTTATTCCTAAATAGGGCAGGGCAGAGGGCAGGTGGGGTGGATTGACATGAAAGTTTGTGTTCACAGTTACCATATTTCTCCAATCAAAAGTGGAATAACAAACTTAACTGGGGTTTTGTGTTGTTGTTTTGCCAGTCCTGGGGCTTGAACACAGGGCCTGGGCACTATCCCTGAACTTCTCTTTGCTCAAGGCTAGCACTCTACCACTTGAGCCACAGCGCCACTTCCAGCTTTTTCTATTTATGTGGTACTTAGGAATCGAACCCAGAGCTTCATGCACGCTAGGCAAGCACTCTACCACTAAGCCACATCCCCAGGCCCAAACTTTTAAGTCTGAAATAAATGAACTTTTTACCATGATGAAAGCATTTCAAGATACTAGTAAATATTCTCATCTGAGACTAACTTGATTCTTCTGATATTTATACCTGAGTCAAAGGTAGGACAATGAATTCATAGGAATGCAAATGGATAAATTTAATTTGTTCCTAACAACACTTCATAAACAAAAGCTTTTAGCTATACAGTGATAGAATGGTTTTCCTGAAAAGAAAGGAAATTGAATCTACTTCAGTAACAGAATTATCATCACTAGATCTTCAGACAATAATTCTCCAAATTATTTCCTATGACTGGCATCAAATTATATCATGTGCCATTGGTTTTGGTAGGAAAAGAAAACCAAAGCCTAGTTCCTACCTTCTATTAATTTCTTGGCCCTTGTAGAAAAGGCTCATTTTGAAATGAATTACTGTACCTATGGTGGTCTATTTAAGAAGTCATGTATTCTAAATAACCCACTGTATACAGGGTCAGAGATAATAATTGCACATTATATTTGCTTGTTTCTACTTTATGTTTCTATAATCAATAAGAAAGATTTTTTAAAGTATTTTAATTCTTTTTTTTTTTTTGTTTTGGTCGGTTGTGGGGCTTAAACTCTGGGCCTGGGCGCTGTCCCTCAGCTGTTCAGCTCAAGGCGAGCACTCTACCACTTAAGCTACAGCGCCACTTCTGAGTATCTTAATTCTTTATGAGACTACTTACTTACCATCTCTTCTAAGGGGTAATATTCTTGGAATTTCTTTTATTTTGTGGAACCCAGAGCCTGATGCAAAGCAAGCACACCACCATTCCCAGCCAAATATCATTTATGTGTGTGTGCGTGCATGTACACGTGTGTCTACCAGGGCTTAAACTCAGGGCCTCTTACTCAGTTTACTTGCTTATGGATGGTGCTTTACCACTTGAGCCCTACCTCCAGTCTGAGATTTTGCTGGCTAATTGGAGCTGGAGTCTTACAGGCTTTTCACCTAGGCTGACTTTGAAACATAGTCTTCCTGGTCTAACCTCCTTAGTATCTAGGATTACAGATATGAACTGCCACCCCCACCCCAATTCTGGCAATTGAACTCGGCTCTGAGCTTGCTTGGCAGATGCTCTACTATGGCGCTATACCTCCACCCAGTATTATTCTTTCGTCATGTTAGGAGAAATCATTTTAAGGCATTAAAGTGTTCCTGGGCTGTGTGATCTGTGTTTTCTCTCATGTCTCTGCACCACCTGAAAACACGTTTTGGTGTTTAATGTCCCTACATTGCACACTAGTTAACCTGAAAACATGTTTTGGTGTTTAGTGTCCCTGCATTGCATACTAGTTAATGTTTTCATTTTCCTCTTCAGTCACGACCCATGTTGTTAGCCCAGACAAAAGCCAGTAGACCAACTAACTCCTGCCTTTATTTCTGGCTACAACTACCACTTCAATTCCCCTGGGAGATTGGAGAGACACTGGTGCTGTGGCTCCTGGGGCTTCTGGAAGGCAGAGGTAGCCATGGGGAAGGGACGCCTTGCGATCGGTGGGCCCACCTCGACTGAGGCTGGAATCACCACCTAAAAGAGAAGCCCTCTGCCACCCACTTTCTAAACGCGACTTTGTGAGGTAGAGCAGTGAGGCGAAGATGACGTCGAAGCTCAGAAGGACTTCCGGTCCGCAGGTGAATGCGTGTCAGAGTCCCTCTGACCCTCGGCGTCTGCGTTTAATATGTAAGGGCAGGACTGCAGACAGGACACCAGCTGTCCACCCCACTGCAAAAAAATACCCAAGAAAGCCAGGCGCTGGTGGCTCACGCCTGTAATCCTAGCTAATCAGGAAGCTGAGACCCAGGACAGAAAAATCCCTGAGCTCCATCTCCTAAACACCCATTAGAAAGCCAGGCTGGACACAGAAACGGAGGGACCGAGGTGAACAGATACAGCCGTGGGGCTCTCTAGACACCGTGTGGAAAGTGAACTGTACAGCGTGTGGGTGGGGAGCGGAAAGAAAAACCGGGAGAGAGTGAAGAATATGGTGACACTGTCCATAAAGAAATGTACCCATTGTCTGACTGCCGCACGTGTAACTTCTCTGTACATCACCTTTACAATAACAATAGAAATACAAAAGCCAGGTTGGAGGCACTGCTGAACCCTTTCTGGCTTTCTTCCTTTGCGACAAATCTTGTTTTATCAGGATTAAACCCAGCAAACTTACCCTTTTATCCCAGAACGCCCTCTCATACCTCTCCATAGCTGACTGGAGTCCACGAGTTGTATCTCAGCATAAACCCTGAAATACGGGGCTTCTGCGACGTGCTGTGAGCCCTCTGGCTTTACCCTGCTTTACCTTTCTCTATTTTGGAACAGTTCTTTGCTTTTAGTACAAAATCTTATTTATGGACTGGAGGCAGAGAGCAAATAAATGAAGAAAATAATTTTTTAACTTATTTATGTGCAGTCTTTTTTTTTTTTTTTTTTTTTTTACCTTTTTAAGACTAACATTAAACTTTACTAAAAGGCCAGACAAAACACATGAAAGGCCCTGAGCTCATCGCTGGGGAAAGCAACACAAAGCACCAAATAGAGTTAGAGGCTAGGAGGCCATAGCACATCCTTTTGGCAGGTCTGTTGGAATAGAACAATCTAGAACATTTAGTGGTGGCTGCTGGTGGGAGCGGAGGCCTGCCGTGGTTGAGCAGAGAGCAGGAATGGGGCCGGGCAGGTGAGGGTGGCTGATGAGAGTGTCAGCCCTCCAGGTTGCCTTTCTCAGATGGCGTAGCAAAACCACTTTTTACACCAATTCCTGCTTACTGCTTCATTTGTATGCGAACACACACACACACACACACACACACACACACACACACACACACACGTGTGCATGCACTCCTAAACTCAGGGCCTGCACATTTATCCTGAGCTTTTTCGCTCAAGGCCGGTGCTCTACCACAGCCCTGCTCTCAGCATCTTGGTTGTTAATTGGAGACAACCGTCTGCAGCTTCCTGCTCTGCTTGGCTTCAAACCATGATCCTCAGCTCTCAGCTTCCTGAGTAGCTAGGATGACAGGCGTGAGCCGCCGGTGCCCAGCTGGGTGCTTGGACTTTTAAAGGAGGCCTTTACATGGTTCTCCGGCTTCGGTCCTTACATGAGTGTAACTAACGGGATGTCCGTTACCGGCCAGGGCTGGCTAAAATAATCACACTTCCAAAAGATCTTGGGTGGAACTATTTTAGTACACGCAAGAAGAAAGCGGAAGGAAGAGGACATACGCCAAGAGCCAAGCTCTTTACATGGTGACTGGACAGTGACCGTTTAGGATAGGAAAGGGAAACTGGCGTGTCACTATTTGGTCATTCTAGACCCAGGAGAGAAGATGCGTGCGTGCCGGTTGTGCTCATTTTGTAAGGCCAGAATGAGAGAGGAGAATGGAGCAGACAGACCGCCGTGTCCATACACCATCGGGCAGACTTACTAGAATCTGTGGAAATGAGGTCCCCGCTCCCGGGAGGGTCTTGCGTGGACTGCTTGGCTTTTCTAACTCTGCCGCGGGGTGAGAGCCACCGAGTGTGACAGCCAGAGAGCTCTGGCTATTGAAGAAAGAAGGAAGACTCCGAGGAATCCAGGCACAGGTTGACTGACGCCCAGCACAAGCGTTCTTTCCAGGAGGTGGGCTCCAGGGAGCACTGTGCTGGGAGTCCCACGATGTCCTGGGTGAAGTGGGGTCTAGACAGATGGGACGGTGGAGTGTCAGTAACTTCTGGAAACAGCTGTGCCACGTCATCCCTCCCACGTGTCGGCTGGGGCGGGGGTCCTGGCGGTGGATGAGGCAGGGGCTGTGATTGGGGGGGGCTGCAGATCCGCAGGACGCTGTGGGTCCCCTTGAACTGTCCCACTGGCACCCAGCTGGGGACGATGGCAGGTAGTGCTCACGCGTCACTGTGTGGGGAAGTATCTGGTCACCAGGCGACACTGTCGGTAATTCCTGAAAACCACTCGACCCCAGGTAAACGCACGCGGTGTCCAGTCCCGACACACTGCCGGACGTTGAGTCCACGCTGCACCCGTGACAATCCCACAGCGCGGGGAAGGTGAAGGCCGTGCCCGCGGGCGGCGTGGCCGGGGGCCGGGGGGCGAGGCCGGGGCTCAGGCCGAGGGGCCGGGGGGGATGGGGGGGAAGGCCGGGGCTCGGGCGGGGGGGGGGGGGGGGGGGGGGAAAGGGGGGAAGGCCAGGGCTCAGGCGGGGGGGATGGGGGGGAAGGCCGGAGGGCGGGGGGCGAGGCCGGGGCTCGGGCGGGGGGGATGGGGGGGGATGGGGGGAAGGCCGGGGCTCGGGCGGGGGGGGGGGGAGGGGGGGGGGGGGGAAGGCCGGGGCTCGGGCCGGGGGGGGGGGGGGGGATGGGGGGGAAGGCCGGGGCTCGGGCGGGGGGGATGGGGGGGAAGGCCGGAGGGCGGGGGGCGAGGCCGGGGCTGGGGGGGGGGGGAGGGGGGGATGGGGGGAAGGCCGGGGCTGGGGGGGGGGGGGGGTGGATGGGGGGGAAGGCCGGGGCTCGGGCCCGAGGGCGCAGGGCGAGGCCGGGCTCAGCGCTGCCTTTGTCCCCTCTTCCCAGGGCAACTGGACGAGGACGGATTGCCACACGGGCCCTGCACGGTCACCTACTCCTCCACGGACAGGTTCGAAGGCCACTTCGTCCACGGGGAGAAGAACGGACGCGGCAAGTTCTTCTTCTTCGATGGCAGGTAGTGCTCCGCTCCCACCGCTTCTGCCTCATTTGGGGGTGTCCTGATAGCTTGCGGGAAGAGATGACGCACACAAAAGAAGTCACACTCGTAATGCCCGCAGGTGGGGGCAGCCGGGGCAGGAGGATCTCCAGTCGAGGCTAGCCTGAGCCACATAGTGAGACTCTGTCCCCCCAAAACACAAACGCAAACAATAACACTCAGCACAGACTGTCATTGAGCTTTGTTTCTATTTACTAATTTACTTCGCAGTGCTGCAGATCAAACCCCAGGGCCTTGTGTATACGAGGCATAGACTACCAGAGTTCCAACTCCAGCCCGGAAAAAGTTGTTGGGGTGTGTGTGCACACTTGCACACGCTGATCTGAGGCTTGAACTCCAGGCCTGGGCACTGTCCCTGAGCTGTTTGTGCTCATGGCTAGCACGCTACCACTTGAGTCACAGCTCTTGGTGGATTACTGGAAATCGGTCTCACAACCTTTTCTGCCTGGGCTGGCTTTGAACTGAGATCCTCAGATCTCAGCCTCCCGAGTGGCTAGAATTACAGGCGTGAGCCACCAGCACCGGGCTCGTTTCAGTGATTAATTCCAACCTTTTCTTTCCCACTGTTTAAAACTAGACTTTGGCTAACAAATTGTAAGCTTCACCCTGGCCAGGACGTCTCTTTCCCCCGCTGCGGTTGCCAGCCGGGCCCGGCCCTGCCGGCCTCTCCAGGGTGGCGCGTCTGGAGGAGCACAGCTCTGTGTCCGACCCTCCCGTGCTCACACTGGGTCTGGCGAGCTGTGAGCGTCCGCAGCGGCAGGCAGACAGTGCCGCTGGGGTGCTGTGGGCGACGCGGGTCCCACACAGAGGCCCCGCGGGTGAGGCCCGTCCCCACGCCTGCCGTTCCTCACACTCGGGGCGCCAGGCCCGGCCCCCAGGGTCCCGCCTGTGCCCCTGCCAGCCAGCAGTCCCCGGGGTCCTCAGAACCCCTCCTCGGGTTTGCTTCCTTGCCTGAGCAGCCACAGCACTGATGCGATGCCTCTGGAAAGTTCTAGAATAGGCTAGGCGGGCCGTGTCCCACAGGAGCTGGCCGGCACTGCTGACCCCGAGCCGTCAAACCCTGCTTTGGTGTGCGCCGGAGACTTCCGAGCAGGCAGGACTTCCAGCCGGCGGGGCTGAGACCTCAAGAGGCCTCTCTCTCCAGATGCAGGCAGGGTGGGGTGCAGGCAGGACCCCTCCAGACCCCTCCAGAGAGAGGCGGTGCGCTGACCCACACCACACACGAGGCGGGCAGACAGTTCACTGGGCACGGCCAGCTCCAAGATGGCGCCACAGGGGACGGCACCTCAGGAGACAGGACGAGTCAGCAACTGTAGACCAAACCAAAACACGCGTGCATGCGCACGCACACACAGGCATTCACATGTCCAGCACGCCACCACGGTGTCTGTCAGTGTGGCTGCTGTAACAGACCCATCAGTGTGTTTTCAGTGCTTATTTTGGGAGTGTGGGACTCAGGGAAGTCCAGGAGCACGGTGCTGGAGGTGTGTGGATGGCGGTGTGTGGTGTGTGGTGTGTGGCGTGTAGATGGTGGTGTGTGGTGTGTGGATGGCTGTGTGTGGATTGCAGTGTGTGGTGTGTGGATGGCGGTGTGTAGTGTGTGGATGGTGGTGTGTGGTGTGTGAATGGTGTGTGGATAGCGGGTGTGTGGTGTGTGGATGGTGGGTGGTTGGCAGGTGTGTGGTAAGTGGTGGGTGGTGTGTGAATGGTGTGTGGATGGCTGTGTGTGGTGTGTGAGTGGTGTGTGGATGGCTGTGTGTGGTGTGTGAATGGTGTGTGGATGGCGGTATGTGGTGTGTGAATGGTGTGTGGTGTGTGAATGGTGTGTAGATGGCGGTATGTGGTGTGTGGATGGCTGTGTGTGGTGTGTGAATGGTGTGTGGATGGCGGTGTGTGGTGTGTGGATGGCTGTGTGTGGTGTGTCAGTGGTGTGTGGATGGCTGTGTGTGGTGTGTGGATGGCGGTGTGTGGTGTGTGAATGGTGTGTGGATGGCGGTGTGTGGTGTGTGAATGGTGTGTGGTGTGTGGATGGTGTGTGGATGGCGGTGTGTGGTGTGTGGATGGCTGTGTGTGGTGTGTGAGTGGTGTGTGGATGGATGGTGTGTGGTGTGTGGATGGCGGTGTGTGGTGTGTGGTGTGTGGTGTGTGGTGTGTGGTGTGTGGATGGTGTGTGGTGTGTGGATGGCTGTGTGTGGTGTGTGAATGGCGTGTGGATGGCGGTGTGTGGTGTGTGGATGGTAGATGGCTGTGTGTGGTGTGTGTGTGGTGTGTGGATGGCTGTGTGTGGTGTATGTGGTGTGTGGATGGTGTGTGGTGTGTGAATGTCTCATAGGTGTTTCACTTTTTCGAGTTTTTTTCAGCTTGGTTTAATCCTAGAGCAAAACTGAATTTCACTAACTATCCTTTGAGCAAACATCTTTCTGTGACGTGGGGTCTACATAGTTAAGAGGAAATATATGCTGACGCTTGCATCTCTAGCAGATGGGGTGAGCTGTGTGCTGCTTGAGTTTGTAATATTTTAAGAGAAAATATATATTGTCATAAAAATATTTTCAAATACAGTTTGAACACTGAGAATCAGGCTAGAGATGGGGATTTAAAGTTGAATTGTGATTCCTTTTCAAGCTTTCCTCTTGGAAGGAAGGAAATGCAATTATACCCTAGACAAAAGCATTCCTCAGCCATGAGAAAAGCCAGCACCACGTCCCTAGTAACTCTTGTGTAGGTGGATACTGACATGACTTTTTGACTGAAAATGCAGTAGTATATGAGTAAATTGCAGTGCATTCGTAAAATAGTTAGTGTATTTAGGATATGTTTAGCAATTGTAAAATTTCTCCATTTCTTTGTAAGTTAGATTTCTTAGTTTAATTTATTACTGGAAACTTAACTCTATAAAAGCTCTATTAAGGGGCTGGGAAGGTGGCTCAGTGGTAGAGTGCTTGCCTCACATGCATGAGGCCCTGGGTTCGATTCCTCAGCACCACAGAAGCAGAAAAAGCCGGAAGTGGCACTGTGGCTCAAGTGGTAGAGCACTAGCTTTGAGCTGAAGAGCCGAGGGACAGTGCCCAGGCCCAGAGTTCAAGTCCCATGCAAAAAAAAAAAAAAAAAAGTTCTAGTAAAGCAGGTTAAATTGGCTAGTGCATGTAGTACAGAGGAAAATAGTTAATTGAAATTGATGTTTAGCCAGGCGCCGGTGGCTCACGCCTGTCATCCTAACTACTCAGGAGGCTGAGATCTGAGGATCTCGGTTCAAAGACAGCCAGACTATGAAACTCCTACCTCCAGTAAACCACCGGAAAACCAGAAGTGGCACTGCGGCTCAAGTGGCAGAGCACTTGCCTTAAGCTGAAGAGCTGGGACAGTGCCCAGGCTCAAAGTTCAAGCCCCACAACTGACAAAAAAAAAAAAAAAAAAGATGTTTAAATTTCCTCTACATTTTCCAGTTGTTTGATTTAGATGCTGAGGCCAGAAAAATCAACCACTGAAAGACCATTCTTGTAATTTCTTAAGCTGCTAAAGAATATTGAAAAGGACCTTAGGAAAACAGTGGATTTGATGATGGTGGTCACAATGGTGTGATCACGATAGTGATGGTGATGGTGGTGGTGGTGGTGGTGGATAATGGTGATGGTGGTGATGATGGTGGTGATGATGATGGTGATGATGGTGGTGGTGTGGTGATGATGGTGGTGATGATGATGGTGATGATGGTGGTGGTGATGATGGTGGTGATGATGGTGGTGGTGATGATGGTGATGATGATGGTGGTGGTGGTGGTGGTGGTGATGGTGGTGATGATGGTAGTGGTGATGTGATGGTGGTGATGATGGTGGTGGTGATGGTGGTGGATAATGGTGATGGTGGTGATGATGGTGGTGATGGTGGTGGATAATGGTGATGGTGGTGGTGATGGTGGTGGTGGTGATGGTGGTGATGATGGTGGTGATGGTGATGGTGGTGATAGTGGTGATGATGATGGTGGTGGGTAGTGGTGATGGTGGTGATGGTGATGATGGTGATGATGGTGGTGGTGATGATGGTGGTGATGATGGTGGTGGTGATGGTGGTGGGTAGTGGTGATGGTGGTGATGATGGTGGTGGTGATGGTGGTGGTGATGGTGGTGGATAATGGTGATGGTGGTGGTGATGATGGTGATGATGGTGGTGGTGATGATGGTGGTGATGGTGATGATGATGGTGGTGATGATGGTGGTGGATAGTGGTGATGATGGTGATGATGGTGATGATGGTGGTGATGATGGTGGTGGTGATGATGGTGGTGGTGATGGTGGTGATGATGGTGGTAATGGTGATGGTGGTGATAGTGGTGGTAATGGTGGTGATAGTGGTGGTGATGGTGATGATGGTGGTAGATAGTGGTGATGATGGTGATGATGGTGGTGGATAATGGTGATGGTGGTGATGATGGTGGTGATGATGGTGGTGATGATGATGGTGATGATGGTGGTGGTGATGGTGGTGGTGATGATGGTGGTGATGATGGTGGTGATGATGATGGTGGTGATGATGGTGGTGATGATGGTGGTGGTGATAGTGGTGGTAATGGTAGTGATGGTGATGATGGTGATAGTGGTGATGGTGATGGTGGTGGGTAGTGGTGATGGTGGTGGTGATGGTGAGGAGAAAGCATGAGCTCCCATTTAAACCTCACCTGGGGGCTTAGCTCCACTGGCAGAGCACTTGTCTCCCAAGTTTAGCATCCAATACTACTTTTAAATTTTGTTTGGCCAGTCCTGGGGTTTGACCTCAGGGCCTGGGCACTGTCCCTGAGCTTTTGCTCAGGTAGGCTTGCCGGGATCCACAAATAAAAATCCAAGACACCAGTTCAGATGGAATTTTGAATAAGCAGCGGAAGCCTGAGGATCGCTGCGTGCTGTGTGTGATGGGTTTATCCCAGACGTGGCTGTGTTGAGTCTCTTCTGACGCGCTCCCTCTCCCTCTCCCTCTCCCAGCACCCTGGAGGGCTTCTACGTGGACGACGCCCTGCAGGGCCAGGGCATCTACACCTACGAGGACGGGGGTGTGCTGCAGGGCTCCTACGTGGACGGGGAGCTGAACGGCCCGGCGCAGGAGTGCGACCCCGACGGCAGGCTCATCTTCAAAGGGCAGTACAAGGACAATGTGCGCCACGGCGTGTGCTGGGTCTTCTTCCCGGTAAGCGCGCTGTGCAGAGGAGCAGCGCCTGAGCCGGCACCCTCGCTGCTCAGGAGGCTGAGCTCTGAGCGTCACGGTTCAAAGCCAGGCCGGGCAGGAAAGTCCGTGAGGCTCTTCTCTCCAATTAACCACTCAGAAAACCAGACGTGGTGCTGTGGATCAGGTGGTAGAGTGCTCCCCTTGAGCTGAAGAGCTGAAGGACAGTGCCCAGGCCCTGAGTTCAAGCCCCATGGCCGACATAAAGATACAGCTATAGCTATAGATAATTAATTAATAATAATGACAGTGAAATGTGTTCTCTGTGCTACAACTTGGGAAGCTGTGCAACCTGAGAGCCCGTCGCTGAAGCAGGATGTACAGGGCACATCTCCCGCATTATTTACTACTGATTTACACTGTTGGTCTCATCGTTGCTATTATTTACACTCATTTTGAAAAAAGAAAACAATATGATTTTATCATGATTGAGACAAGTTAGATGTATTGTGAAAGGAAAGAAAAGAAAAACAGCAGCAGGAAGACATGGCCTTTAATTCCTTCAGCCTAGAGAATGAGATGGAGGCGTGGCGACAGTTATTAATGATTTTATTATTTAGTTCTCATAGGAAAGATTGTATCCAGCCGCTCCCAAACTGTACTGCACCACTGTTTGTTGATCTTGCCATCTAAATTGATTGCTCATCCTTGCATTGAGTATGGTCTCCGTGGGCAGGAGGAATCCATGAGGAGGAGACATGGGGGGGTCCCACTGGAGGGGCTTGTTGTGTTACTGCAGGGCCAGGTAGGAAGCCACAGGGACCAGCTCCCCGCAGAAAGAGGAGCTGGGGCAGCAGTCTGTGGGTGGTGCTGGTCCTCAGGACTCAGGAGAGGGTGAGCAAAAAATAAGGCAGAGTAACTGGAGCAACCCTGATCTTGTGAACGCTCAAGCGTCCGCGGGTAGCAGCCTGCCTCTCGTCTAAGTCCCGAATGCTCCACTCTCCACCAGGGGGAGCCAGAGAGCAGAAGGCTTTGTGAGCTGGGAACCAGGAAAGGTAAATGCAGTGATCCCCTCCTGTGCTCCCCTCAGACTGCGAGGAGGCGAAGTTTATAATAAAAAAAAAATCATAACTCGTTTTGGAAGTAAGGCCCTGGAAGAGTGCCTATCTTAACTTCACAGAGCGCTGTTATTGTCACACTGTAGCGCGCAGGTAGCAGGGAGAGGCTCTTGCACTGGAGATGAACGTGTAGAATATTTTCCGGGTGTAGAATGTTTGGGGTTCTCCTGGCAGGACGGAGGCAGCCTCGTGGGAGAGGTCAACGAGGACGGGGAGATGACGGGGGAGAAGATAGCCTACGTGTACCCCGACGAGAGGACGGCGCTCTACGGCAAGTTCATCGACGGAGAGATGATCGAAGGAAAACTGGCCACCCTCCTGTCCACGGAAGAGGGGAGGCCGCACTTCGAACTGACGCCTGGAGGTAAGCTGGAGCCGCCGCCGCCGGCCGGGCAGGGAGAGGCGCCCTGCCTCCGCAGCTCCTCCCATGGTGTACAACAGCTTAGTGGGTTGCGCCTGGCCACACAGTGGCCACACAGCTAACCAGCTGCCCCCCAGGGCCTGGCCTGAGGCTTCAGTCAGTTTCCATCCGCTGTGAGTGTTAACCTTAGTGACAGGGCCTAGGCTGAAGGCCCAGGGGTGATTTGGGGCAAGAATTTTTCAGGGTGCATCTGATGTGTCTGCATAAGCAGATTCCTGTGATGTCTGTACCTCCCTCCCTCCTTCCCTCCCTCCCTCCCTCCCTTCCTTCCTTCCTTTCTGTCATGGGGTTTGAACTCTGGGCCTGAGCGCTGTCCCTCAGCTCTTCAGCTCAAAGCAAGTGCTCTACCGCTTGAGCCACAGCGCCACTTCCAGTTTTCTGGTGGTTTTTTGGAGCTCAGAGTCTCACGAACTTTCCTGCCTGGGCTGGCTTTGAGCCTCGATCCTCAGATCTCAGCCTCCTGAGTAGCTAGGATGACAGGCGTGAGCCACCGGTGCCCGGCTCAGAATTACCATTCGCTCTTCAGAGCAGATCATGTGGCCGAGCTCCACGTGAGACAGAGCCCTGATGTGTCCGAGGGAGAGTCTGCAGAGTCCCGTCACAAGGATGTAGATGGGAAATTCCCACGCAGGGAGGAGCCAGGACGCGGTTGGTGTCGCTAACTCAATGCATTTTAAATGGCTGCCTCTCCAGAACACTGACACCAGAACACAAAGCAAGAGAACTCTCCAGAGGCGCACCGACCGCAGCAGGGGTTGCGCATGCTCTGTGACGGGAGCGGTCAGTGAACACAGCGGCCACACACAACATGCCGCCTGGAGACCTTGTCTTCTGGGTGTAAAAGTCACCTGGCTGAAGAAAGCCAGGAAAATGCACAGTAGAAAAACCAGGATTGCGTGCGTGGAGTGCCACCGCCTAAGAAAGCTCTCCAGATTAGTCCAATTTCTGGCAAAGCCTGGATGCGTGGATTTCTGGTCCAGGGTGGGTTATGAAGAGAAGTTAATAAATCTAGGCCTTAGTAAGCCTAAATTACACTCGTCTAACTCGAACAGGGAGAAGATTTTTCAAAGCAAAGTTCTCCAAAAATACGAAATCATTCATTTACGTGTAGCTCCAACTTGGATAGCCTTAAATGTCTTTTATATATATATATATATATATAGTTAAAAGTTGAAGAGGGCCAAATGCAGGGTGGGATTCTAGATCGGATCCTGAGGCAGGCCACGGAGAAGCTGGCTACGGTTTCGCCCAGTGACATGGCTGTGCTGCTTTCCTCGTCTTGGCAGAAGCACTGCGTAGCGAAAGACGTCGCATGAGGAGCGGTGTCTCCCCTGGGTCTCTGCCGGCCGGCCGGTGCGGCGTTGTCACCTGGAGTTGGCACTCACAGGACATTGATGATGAAACTTTCAGTGTAAGGGAGGAGATAGGTGTTCGGAGAATTCCACACAGCCCTTGGGGTCAGGACCAGGGATGTAGCTCAGCGGTCGAGTGCCGGCCTAGGAGACACGAGGTATGAGAGTTGGCACCGTGAGAACGGGAGAGTTGGGCTTAAGAAACAAGTGAGTGTTGTTTTCTCTTTTGAATTAATTCCCTGTTGTCGATCGTCTCCTGGCCCGTTGCTGTTTGCTCCCGGATCTGCTCTAAACCCTTCCTCTGCCTGCTCCTGCTGTGGGAGCCTCTGCCTCTCCCCAGACTTCTGTCTGACTTTGGCCAAAGCAGGTGAATGTCCCTGCGTGGGGGGGGGGGGGTCTGGTCAGCACATCTTGCCAGCAGCCTGGCTGCCACCTCCTGCCTGACTCACAGCAGAATCCCAGACAGCACCTGCTACCCCACACAGCCTCAACTTCTGCCCATTTCTGGGTTCCACATGGTTCCTTGCTCTTCTGTCTCCTGTATGAGCAATTCCCTGACTTAAATCCCCTCTTCAAAATATTTAAATGGGCTGGGTATCAGTGGCCCACACCTACAATCCTAGCTACTCAGGAGCCTGAGATCTGAGGACCAAGGTTCAAAGCCATCCCAGGCAGGAAAGTCTGTGGGACTCTTATCTTGAATTAACCACCAAAAAGCTGGAAGTAGAGCTGTGGCTCAAGTGGAAGAGCATCAGCCTTGAGCAAAAAAGCTCAGGGACAGCACCTGGGTCCTGAATTCAAGCACCATGACCAGCATGAAAAAAATATATATACGTACTAAAAGGTCAGGTTCCTAGACATGGATTGGTTTGGATTGTACCAAAAGAAGAAAGGAAGGAAGGAGGGAAGGAAGGAAGGAGGGAAGGAAGGAAGGAAGGAAAGGAAGGAGGGAAGGAAGGCAGGCAGGCAGGCAGGCAGGCCTGGTAACTATGGGCAACCACTAAAGAATTGCATAATGGGATTATTAGTGATAATAATTGACTTTGCAGGAGTAAGCTCTTCAGTTCCCAATCCTGTTTCTCTCCTGATGGGCTCTCGGGACACCCTGTGTCTTCATTATACTAGAGGAGGGTTTTGGGGGGCTAAAGGCAATCCCAGGAGAGCCGCAGGCCTTAGTTTCTGGAATACATTTCTGGTTAGGTTCTGAACTACCATCTCAGAAGTGAAATGACTTTGCTAGGCTTTATTAGAGTGCTGTCCTTGATTCTGGCGAGGTGAAGCCAGCTGCCAGGGCTCTGGTGTTAGATTTCGCAGATGATCTGGTATGAAGAAAACCACAAAGAAACAGAACTATTTTCCAATTTGGTCTGACCAAAGAAATTTGAACATGCCATAGCAAACCATTTTCATGATTTAAAAAACATTTCAGGCTGGGCACCGGTGGCTCACACCTGTCATCCTAGCTACTCAGGAGGCTGAGATCTGAGGATTGAGGTTCAAAGCCAGTCTGAGCAGGAAAGTCCGTGAGACTCTTATCTCCAATAAACTACTCAGAAAACCAGAAGTGGCACTGTGGCTCAAGTGGTAGAGCACTTGCCTTGATCTGAAGAGCTGAGGAACAGCGCCAGGCCCAGAGTTCAAGCCCCACGACTGACCTAAAACAAACCATTTCAGCACTCAAGCAATGTTTAAGTTGCTTGCATGAAGATTTAAAAGCAAACAGGAACGGATCGCCTCCCCCCAAGGTGGGAAGTGCAGGGGTAGGAGGTTTAGGAGCAGGCAGGAGAGTGAGTCTGAGACTTAGCTGCTCAGTCGTGGCTTGGTGTTTTCCTAGTCCTCTGCCCTTGGACAAACTGCCTAATTCTTTTGAGGCTCCTCCTCCTCACCTGACAAACATGGGGACAATACCTACCTCACAGAGCTGGTGTGAGGAGTGGGTGGGTACTGTGGTGGAAACTCTTGTTCAAGGCCAGCTGTGTGCACCTGTGAGCGCTCAATAACGGTCAGTTTCCCTTCCAAAAAGAAAAAAGCAGGTAGGGATTTTAAGAGATGTAGCTGGCGGTTGTGGGTTGTTTTGAAAATGACAGTGGAGGGGGACACTGATGGGCACCTCTTCCCCGACTCGCTGTCCTCCCTGGGATGAGGGGAACAACATCGGTAGTTGATTAGCTCTTCCTGTCCTGGGGGCAGAGAAGGGTCCCGCTCACTGACATTCGGTTTGTTTTTAGGTTCTGTGTACCACTTTGATAAGTCGACTTCATCCTGCATCTCCACCAATGCTCTTCTTCCAGACCCTTACGAATCGGAGAGGTAAGGCTTTCCTTCCCGCCTTGCTTGCGGGTGTCCTGAGGTTAGAAGCCCCGTGGTGGGAGCTCAGCGCCCTGTGGCTTCCCGCTCAGCGCAGCCCTTCTGGGAGGCGTCCTTTTCCCTTGCAGATCCTCCAGATAACTACTTGGGTATTGTGAGGCCGGGCGCTTTGCTCCCTCCCGTTTGGATGGGGTGCTCATGGCAGGGGAGGGCAGGGGTGGTGCCCCTTGTAAAGCCCAGATCCTCTCATGAGTTCCTCATGCGGTGAAAGCTCTAGACTAGGGAAAGCCAGGTGCTGCTAGCTCACACCTGCAATCCTAGTGTATTCAGGAGGCTGAGATCTTGAGGATCGAGGTCTGAAACCAGCTGAGGAAGGAAAGGTCTGAGAGACTCATCTCTAATTAACCACAAAAGCCAGAAGTGGAGTTGTGACTCAAATGGTAGAGCACTAGCCTTGACACAAAAAGGGACAGCACCCAGGTTCTTGGTTCGAGCCCCAGTACCTGCACCAAAATAAATAAATAAGTGAAATGCTTGAGGTGAGAGGCACTGGGTCAGGCAGCTGTGACCCCCCCGCCCCCCCAGGGTCTATTCCCTAGGGTTCTGGTGCCTCTATTGGTGCTGACAGCCGCACGGCCCTCTGGGGGGCATCACACCCTCCTGAAGTATGCCCTGCACCCCAGGAACGCCTCCTTTTCTCCTAAGCCCAATTCACAGGGCTTGGACTCTATCCATTCTGAGGAAACAGGACTTTAGAAACAAACAATGAGAAGTAAGAAAGCATTCCACTCCACACAAGACGAGGCCCTGGCTCTAGAAGCGCACTCAGAAGGTCAAGTTCTATTTCCGCTTCTTGCCTTATGTAGGAGATGCTTTCTAGACACTTGTTCTCTAGCCCTGCATGCATGAAGGGGCTTTCCCTAAGATCCCCAGATCCTCTCCCTCGGACCCGTCTGCTTCTAAGTAAAGACCCCACCTCAGGTTGCTTTTCTCTTTGCCTGCTCATGCGGGGCGGCGCACAGTGTCACGGCAGGAAAACAGACGGCTGGAGGCTGTGGCCACACTACAAAGCGGGGAGGGCTGGGGCTCTGCATTCACCCCAAAACATAACAGCGCTGAAAGTATAGGTGCCAGTCTTCTCTGTTTTCATGGTGACAGTCCTGCCTCCTAATATTCTCAAGACTGTCAGCTGTTTCTGGAGGCAAACGTTTTCTTTGACACCCGGAGCTCAGTAGGTTCAGCCAGACCTTTGCTAGGGATCCGTGAGGCCCAGCTGGACAGGGCTGGACCCCAGGCCTGAAGTTGGGTTCAGCTCTGTCTCCTGTGTGTTTATTCCAAGCCTCAGACAGGAGAAGCAGAGTCTCCCGGAGTGGGTGGAAGCCGCAGGCGGTGGATGGGAACTTGTCATGTTCCCGAACACCTGAGATCGGCATGCAGGCAGCCTCCGGTCGCTGTTCTGACAAAGCAGAGCACAGACCAAGCATGCCGGGGCAGACGCTGCGGCAGCTCAGGACTCACCACGGGGTCGGGATGTGCAGTCCTGTTGCAGAGCAGGAACAGAATTGGAACCAGTTGTTGAGGTTTGCAGTCCAGGAAGGAAACATACAGTCCACTAAACACGGTCATTGCAGCCTGGCTGTCTCAGAGCTGAGAGCGGGAGGTGGAATGTGGGCAACTCCACAGCCACCACGGGTTTTCTCTTCTTGCAAGCCTGTGTGTGAGGAGCTACCGGGTAGATACTTCAGGCTCTGTAGGCCCTGTGGTCTCTAATGCAGCTACTCCGCTCTGCCTTTGTAGTTAGTGCTGCAGCAGGAAGACCCAGTGTGAACCAAATAGCCATGTGCCAATAAAACTTTATTTACAAAAATGAGCAGAAGCCAGTTTTGACCTCAGGTCTTACTAGTTAGCCACCCTCTGCTTGGAGTCCTTTTATTGGCTCTATCCTCTTAGCTGTCACTCATTCATATAACATACTCATCTTGGTATTTAAAACAGGTCTTTCCTACTGCCTGGTGTTGACAAACTTGGCTAATTAACTCTGAGCTGAAACAACCCGCAAGAGAAACAAAAATACAAATGCCCTTATCCCCTCTACTGAGTAGCTTTATGAGTTAATTTCATAGTCCATTTCTTCTGCTCTCAGTGCTTCTGTATTGTGGTTTATTAAAGATTTCTTCTTGCCTTCCTTCTTTTATTGGATAATGAGGAACTGGTCCTAGTTTTGGATTCAAAGCGATCATGATTTGGTTTTTTTCCCCCCTTCTTCTTCTTCTCAGGGTGTATGTGGCCGAGTCCCTCATTTCCAGTGCAGGAGAAGGACTGTTTTCCAAGATACCCGTGGGTCCTAACACTGTTATGTCTTTTTATAACGGAGTCCGAATTACACACCAAGAGGTGAGTATTTCTAACACGTTTCCTTTCAGGCTTGACACTCTTATCACTTGAGCTGACACTTCCAGCTTTTTGCTGGTTAATTAGAGATAAGTCTTATGGACTTTTCTGCCTGGGATGGTTTTGAACCTTGATCTTCAGGTCTCAGACTCTTTAGCTCAGGTAACAGGTGTAAACCACCGGTGCCCAGCTGAGAGGCCTCACCAGGTGTGTTGGAGGGTTGTGGATGATGGGTCTGGTCATGGGTGGGAACGTCCACTGTCTTGGTGGCTGGCGGCTGCTCACGGTGGAAGCCCTGGGGCCGGGACAGGCCTTTTCCTGGAGTACACACGGCCCCCTGCGCATTCCTGCCTCCCTTTCTGTTCTCTCCTTTCGCCTCTTCTGGGTCTCCTTTTAGACGGAGCTCTTTGCTTGCATTTTTGTGTGTCCTTATAAGGAATAGGAGCCTCCCTTTTCTGGGTAGAATAAGGAAGCCCAGCTAGTAGCTGCGCGGTGTGTTACTCCATCCGTGTGCGGAGGGCTGGCGGGCTGGCGCCGTGAAGCGGCGGGTGAATGTTGATGCGTCGGCGGACCTCTGCCCCTCTGAGAGCGGGCGGCCCCCAACACGTGCCTTGTGTCCGCAGGTGGACAGCAGGGACTGGGCTCTCAACGGCAACACCCTCTCTCTGGACGAGGAGACGGTCATCGACGTGCCTGAGCCCTACAACCACGTGACCAGGTACTGTGCCTCCCTGGGCCACAAGGCAAACCACTCCTTCACTCCAAACTGCATCTACGACACGTAAGTGACGCTCGGCGGCAGCAGGGCCGGTTGACGCCTCGGGGCTTGGGGTTAGGAAGGGCCTGGAAAGGTGTTCCTAGGTCTCAGAGATGGCTGCTCCCCCAGGATGTGCCAAGAAGCCGGGCCATAGGCCTCCGCAGTGGGCTGAAAGCTCCAATCCAGAAAGAATAGAATGGCCAGGCACTGGTGGCTGAAGCCTGTCATCCTAGCTACTCAGGAGGCTGAGATGGGAGGATTGAGGTTTGAAGCCAGCCCAGCCAAGCAAGTCTGTGAGAACTCTTGTCTCGAATTAAGCACCAAAAAGCTGGAAGTGGAGCTGTGGCTCAAGCGGTAGAGCACTAGCCTTGAGCGCCCAGGCCCCAGTACCAGCCCAGAAAGAAAGGTAGGGAGGGAGGAAAAGGAGAGAGACAGAATGTCAGATATGCTGGGAAAGGAAGGCAGAGCAGTGCATCTAGACCGTGAGCAGGCCATGCCTGGCCGGGTGTTGTTAAATCTAAATTCTAACACGCAGCCGGGCGGGGCTGAGGTGTTGTGTGCAGGGTGCTCCTGGCTGAGGCCAGAGCTGCTGGCCCGTGACCTCGTGCGTCTTGACACCCAGGTTTGTCCACCCGCGGTTTGGGCCCATCAAATGCATCCGCACCCTGCGAGCTGTAGAGGCGGAGGAGGAGCTCACGGTGGCCTACGGCTATGAGCACAGCCCCCCAGGGAAGAGCGGGCCCGAAGCCCCCGAGTGGTACCGGGTGGGGCTGAAGGCCTTCCAGGCCACCCAGCAGAAGTGAGCGGCCGGGCCTTGGGGCCAGACGCCCGGAAGAGACTTGGATCTATGCACTCCTTTCATCCGCAACAGGACGACCGGGGATGGCTCTCGCTGTGACTTCAGCCCCTCCTCCCGAGTTAGCACCACTTCCTCGCGCATACTAACTAGGTTTGACTGTATTACTCATACCCGACTTAACATTAGGTAGCTTCACCACGGTGTCCCGCTGAGAGGTATTGGGAGCACTTGACGTAAGATAGCATGATGCTCTTGAGCGGTTTGGGTCTAAATCTGGACCACCTTTGGAGATGCCAAATAATCAGACTAAAGGAAGAAAGGGGTATGTGTTCCATCCTGTTGTTGGTTTTTCCATGTTTTTTTTTTTCCTATGGCCAGTGTAAAATGTGTGACACATTTGCACATGTGCCCTGTGGAGGGTAGAGAAAACGATTAGATCTTCACTCTCTAAACATGGTAGTTTGCCTTTTAACCTTTGATCTGTATTTTATACTAGAATGGCTTTGGTTTGGGGATTTTTCCCCCTCTAGTAGGCAGAAAGAAGCCACTTTCTGCTGGGACCCACTCCCTCGCCTAGATATCCTGGAATGAGAAAACTCCTGAGTGGGCTTGCATCTCTGATTTTGTTTCTATACCATCATTTCAGTCTTATGTCCTAATATCAAGTACTGGCTCTTAGGGCCAGGGTATTATTATAGAATTATTATTCTCGCATGTAAACAAAGATATCTTTGCTTTCAGATGTGAGAAGAAGTGAATTTACTTTGTTTGCATTGTTATGGAGGAGTTTTATATATATACATATATATATATATACACACACACACACACACATATATATATATGTATATTTTAAGAAGGAAGAAAGGACAATTAGTATTTCTAGGCAGCAATTGTGGCACTTTTCCAGTATCTTTGATAATGCTAGTAAGTTTCTTTCTTCTTGGGTACACATTACATGTACATAAACCTAGCGCAGTCTGGCTTGTGACATGTCATTGAATTAAAAAGTCAAATAGCAAACCTTGAATTCTGCATTAGAATTCAAGAATTTCTTTGAAATCAGTACAATGAAGGCAGACATACTGACTGTCAGTTACAAAGCAAAACTTAATGCTAAAAACTGTTCATCATGGTCATTTCAAAGCTCTTATTGCTTCGAAGCATCCTTAGCTGAGTTCACACCTGTGCAGTTTCAAAGCAACAGCATCCGTAGCATTTTGGCCATTTCGCAAGCCCGGTGAGATTCCAACTTCAGAAAGCGGGAGGAAAGCCCTTGTGTTTTAGGCCAGCACATTAGATCTGTGATTTACTGGAAAGGCTCCGAATGAATTCTGAGAGTTGGGGCTTTCCTAAGTACGCTCAGCACATGCCCATGCGCTGTCTGCTCCTGCTGCTTGGAGGAGGGGCAGGAGGGGGGAGAAGGGGGGGCAGGAGGGTGTGGCCCTGTAAGCCACTGCTCTGCCTCGCCTGAGTAGTTCAGTCTTGAGAGCTGAGTCCTTGCAAGTTTCGAGGAGTTAGCAAGCCAGCTGAGGGATGCTGCGGGTGTAGAGGAAATGTAAGGCCTCGGACAGCAGGAAGTTGGCTGTCAGCTGGGTCACACTGAGCTGGGTTCGTAGCGAGGCTCTCGTGAAAGTGCTCCGTCCTCCTTGCCCCCTCCTCTGGCCAGCTGCTCACAGTGACCAGTCGGGCAGTCCCCAGATGGAGGACGCAGCCCTCAGGACAAGCCCAGTACCGCCGACCTCCCGTCTGTCCCAGGCCCCTTGGCACTGCAGCTGTGGTGGTTTCTAAGAGAAGCACTTGGATCTGTTTGGAAGCTTAAGCTCTTCCCGGGAGAGCAGCTGGTCAGGATTTCCAGAAAGATGTCCCACGAAAGGAACTGAGTAGAGGTTTCACATCAAGAGTTAGGAAGACAGGGTTACTTCTGTTCTTTGGAAAGAGACCCTCTGTTGGATGAGCCGGAGCCTTGTGTGTGCTCACATATGACAGTCCACTGAAATGTGTTGCAGTGTGTTCTCATGGGTGTTTGACACATGAGGGTTCATGGAAACGTGGCAGAGGTGGATGGCTGTCTCCAGGAGAAAGTTGGCTCTCATCGGATCTAGTCAGCTGGGCTTTGGAGCTGGGCAGGGAGTGGGGCAGGGAGGCGGGAGCAGCTGCCAGTCCCTCCAACCACAGGCTGCGGCCGGCTGGCTTTCCTGGACCACAGCGGCTGCTCATGACTCCAGCAGGGCCCGGTTTCTGTCCTAAAGAGCTACTGCACTCTCCCATTGGAGCCAAGTTGAATGTTTCCATAAAAGGGGTGGATGAATTGTAAGTGGAGATTTGGCCAGTGAGTAGACACTGAGTGATGGCATGCTGGTGACACTGAATGCTAGCACTCCCGTGACGCCATAGGACAGCATGCTGGCTTGAACCCAGCCACCCTCAGACCCCTTGGGAACCACACACCCAGCCAAGCTCCCCCTGGCTTCCCCGGGACACTCTGCACACTCCCTGTGTCTTCCAGCAATCCCTTTCCTCTTCTGCACTCAGAGGAGAGCCGGGGCCTGGGGGTCCACGGGAACCAGCCCAGCCCAGCACTCCATTGTCTGGGCTCTGAGCTCCTCTCCTGCAGTGCCGGCCTCTCCCCCGCGGGCTCTCTGCATGTCTTTCAGGCCCTCCCCTGGGCCCCTGTCCCTCGGCACTGACTCCAGCGCTCTTGTCTGTCTGTCTGCCTCTGTCCTCCTGCTTTCCCACACACATCTGTCCACTGTCTTTCCTACTTCCTTCCTGCTCTGTTTCTCTCTCACATAAAGACATACACACATCCACATACATCGCTAACTGCTATTCCCCCTCCAGCCCCCCCCCACAACTTCATCACGAGAGAGAGAGGCTGGAAGTTCAGTTCTAGATAGAGAAATAGGGTGGGAATTAACTGCTGTGGAAGAGTGTTTTGACCTAAAGCAGAAAAGCCCTTGATGAATTATTCCACCTCTCTCTCTCTCCACACACACACACACACACACACACACACACACAGAGGCTGTGGAAGGAAATGGGCAGGAAGCAGCTGCATCTGGTCACTGCAATGGCATTGTCATCACAACAAAAAACACGGCTGAGCCCAGGCATCCAGGGAATACAGACGCACCTCGCACTCCCGCAGAGCAGCGGGCGCCTGCACGTGCATGTCTTCCATGGGGCTCCCTCAGAGCCGCCTGCATCCCCTCCCGTGTGAGCAGACCTTCCCGTCGCATCTTTCCTGTGACAAGATACTATCCTGTATTAGTTAGGAGCAGGTCCCAGCAGGCACTGGTTCAGACTCCCAGAAGTCACCGGAAAGATGGTGCTTCCAGCCAGCATTGAGGACATCCACAGACCGCACACAAGAAGGACTGGAGAGGTTTGCAGACCCCGTTTTTAGGTGACCCTGCCTCCCCCTGGATCTCTCTGAGCATCCAAGAAGGAAAGTTGTTTTTCAAGATCTTTTTGAACCCATGTGGGACTAGAGTTCACCCTCTTTGCACTCTGGGGTTCATTACACTTGAAAAACTATTTCCTTCTCACCAACAGTCCTCCCCCCTTCTCCCCAAAAAAGCCAGCACAGCCAAATGTCATCTGCAATATTTAAGTGATATCGTAAACGTGCGTCAGGCTGGTGCCAGTGTGGTACCTGGCCTGGCTTTCACCCCAGCAAGTCAAAACACAAACATGCCCCAACAGCAGGTTCAAGGGTTTTGTGGACAGTGAACGTGTGGCACTTTTAGTACCTTTCGTTTACTAGGCATAAAAAACTTCAATCACTCACCGAAAAACGCATTCTTCTAAGAAGGTAGATAGGTTTTCTATTTTCTTTCAAGGAGCTGCCTCCAATTCTGTCTTCATAGTGATATAGAATCCAGACATCTTGTCTTTTAGAAAAACAAGCAGAACTACCTCGCCAAACAGGTAGTTTCCATGTTTCTTTGCCACAGATCAGAGGTTGACAAAATATATTAAATTTACATGTACTTGAGGTATCTTGATAGATTGTGTTTGGGGGCTGGTTTTGTTTGGGGGTTGGGGGGTTGGGGTTTTTTTTTTCCTTGACTTTTTCCCTTCAGGAATTTGGAACCTCCATGCCAGGGGTTTTGTTTTGTTTTTGTTCTTGTTTTTAAAATACTAAATTTTACAAGTTTTCTTTTGCCAAATGTGTGCGTCTATATTCAAAGCAATGAAACTATTTCAAGCCATACAACCACAGGGGGTAGAAACCCCTTTCACAAATTTTAATGTGTTTGTATGTAAATAGATGTTTGTATGAAATATTTTCATGGTTGAATGACTATATTTAAATGAAGTTGACTTATTCCAGTGCTATTTAAACACATGACAAAAAAAATTTTTTTTTGGTGAGAATTCTGAGTCTACTGAGATATAATGCAGATCAATTTTGATTTTTAAACTCAAAGCCTACAGATTCCTCTGGGCGCTGTGTGTGTCAAGGGGCCCCGTAGGCTCCCAGTGCCTCAGCCGCTTGCTTGCGGGTGGTAAGTTCGGTGCTAACGGAAGTGTGTTTACCTTTTAGGGATTCCCGAGGGCCCGGGGCCCGAGAGCGAATCCGAGGCATTAGAGACACGGTGCAGTTATCCGGAGCACAATTTCTTTGCAGGGCAACAGAATCCGAAGCCAGACTTGGCCGTGACCTCCGTTCCCCAGCCACCATCCCCGCACTCCCTCACTGTCAGGGCCCAAGTTCAGGGTGCTGCTGCAGGGCACAGACCCGGGCGGGGTGTCAGATTCTCCAGCCATCTCTGTCTCCTAAAGAGGGGGGCAGCTCCCCCTCCCCCCGGGCAGAGACCCCATTCTCAGCACAGTCCATTTCCTGTCTCAGCTCTGGAAGACTATGAACCTCAGACCCAACTTCTAGCCAGAGAGAGAGACATGTCCTGGATTGCAGAACCCCGGCTTCCTATCTGTGACCTTGCACGCAGCCCTTAGAGGTCATTTTAACATCAAGACCCGTCACCCATCTCCTAAGACATACCTCCCAATGCCTAACCTTGAGCTACAGGGGAAAAAAAAAAAGAGAGAGGAACAAATTAATAATAACCTCCTCTATCATGAATTTGACTGAGTGGGGATTTTCCCTCTTTAGTCCTGGACATAATAAAACATCAAGTGACAAATTTTCACTGTGTATGCTAGCAATATGAACACATCTGCCACTGTACCCAACCCTACCTATGTTGGTTACATTTTGGGTTACTCTAATTCATCCTGATTCCTGGATGGGAAAACTACAGGGACTACAGTGTGCTTGCTGATCCTATGAGAAAGTTACGTCCATGATCCTGGCTCCCTATCTCAAATGTTTCTCCTCTTGGGTTTTCTCTGTTCTCCTCTGATCCTGAAATGCGTTTATTGGGTTGTGAGGTGTGTCCGTGGAGTGGGGCGCAGGGGAACACAGTCAGCATTGATCTCAACCAGAAGTTAACCCCTTCGAGTTACCAAGCACTTCGGGTCTTTTGTGAAATCTGAACTAAATCTATGAGCCTTATTCAATATCTAAGAATTCTATGCTTTTTTTAAATTATGGGAAACTATGGAAGATGTTTACATGAGTCATGTTTGCCCTTCCTGTGTTACGAATGAATTTTTTTGTAGTATGTCTGGGCGCATGTGCAAGAGAGTAGGAAAAATGTTTCTGAAACAAAACTTGACAAATATTTGTAATGAAAAGTCAATTTAAAGATCGCTATAATCGCGCTTTAGAAACAATGCAAGTATTAAACAAAATATACAATCATT